CATGCCACTGACGACGACTTAATCATCATCACCCCTAGCAAATTTCCGTAACTACTTGCATCATGTAATCGTTTCTTTGCTGATCCTTTTAATGTTTTTGTAGTCAGTCAGTGTTTATTATTTTCATTCAAAACCGCGAGTTAAGATTCATTTAGGACAAAGAAAACTAAGATACTCCACCCACTCGGACGTTTATCCTTCGTTTAGCTCACCGATCATCTGTTGCAAATGAGAGGCCGATCTTCACCTTTATTTCTTCTGTCACCACGTGCTTGATTGATTCTTCCGTTTTTTTATTAATCGATTCCTTCAGGTCAATTCTTTCGAGCAGCTATGCATCAATTACACTAACGAAAAGTTGCAACAACTGTTCAACCATACTATGTTCATTCTGGAACAAGAAGAATACAATCGTGAAGGTATCAAGTGGGAGTTCATCGATTTCGGTTTGGATTTACAGCCTACCATTGACCTAATTGAAAAGGTTAGTGCCCGATTGGTACCTAGCGCTACTACCAGGCTTGTACTGTTTTCTTTTTATTTTCTGACGTTTTCTATCCCTTTTTCTTGTTTATTTTGCCTCGATAATTTTTGACTGAAATGCGACTATTCTGTTCTCGCAAAAGTCTACAGAAATACAAATATAATCTTTGTGGAGTCCAAATAAGATCTTATGATTTTGTCATAACAACGGTTATCTCTTTATGTTAACAGTTGCAACTTTTCATATCCTATTAAATCCTTCATTCCAGCCTCTCGGTATCCTCGCTCTTCTGGACGAAGAATGCTTCTTCCCCAAGGCCACTGACAAATCGTTTGTCGAGAAACTGCTCAAGACTCAGGAAGGTCATCCTAAAATGTGTAAACCGGAATTTCGCTCCTCGGCTGATTTCGGTGTGATCCACTATGCCGGTCGTGTGGATTACATTGCTGCCGGATGGTTAACTAAGAACATGGATCCTCTGAACGATAATGTGGTTGCCTTAATGCAAGCATCAAACGATTCTCTGGTCCAGGTGAGTTCTAATCGCTCTCCCGTACTTGTATGCTATTTGCGTACTAGTTCAACAGTTCACCCACATCTCACTTACTGTCACACCACTCTCCGGTTCACTTGTATCTCGCTCTCTCACTGTCTTTGCTGCACATTTTCCGTCCTCTCGAAACACACGGTGTGCAAGTGTTCGTGTGCGCATAAATTACGCGCTCCAACTGTGCACACACACGGGCGCTCATTTGCTTTTCCGCGTCTTTTCATCGATCAGTGATAGTCGCCTCGATGCAATACATACTCGCACGTATATTTCGCACGTGGTCGGCAAAACCAATGAACAAACCGCCTGATGGATGGATAGGCTGAGCAAAGATATTCAACTTGGCGCAGTGGAGCCTCGTTCAATGCATCCACCAAAACCCTGTTGACGTGCATGTACTTAAATTCTCTTCATCACCTCTCCGGGAGATACTTTCAGTTTCGTGCGATATCGCTTTTTGGGTAATGAAGTGATCACCAATCTGCCTTCAAAGAATAGTGATTATTTCTGAGCTGTTCGGCTGATGACTAATAGGGGATAATAACTGATAGCATTAAATTGCACAAATGCATCTCTTCCACTATTGGGTTTAGAGTAAAGTTATCAGTATTGAAGCAAGTGTTGGATTATGATAAAGCATTATAAAAGATGCTTGGAGAATCGATATAACTACAGCCTGGGGCGTTGAATTTTTATACAGTTGTTTTTGGTCACGCAGCTCTAAGGAGTCCCCAATCGCCGCACCTCGATTCGATCAGTGTTGCTGACTTGAACCGGGCAATACAAAAACGATTTGGGGCTTATGATACTGCAAAGCAGTGTGCCACCATGACCGTGTGTAACTAGTCATCAGTTAGACCCATAGTCCTCGTCGTTTCGCATTTATCCTCTGAACCCTTATTGAGACGCCCGAAATAAGTGTTTTTGTTCAACCAACCGCCGCTTATCCCTATAGGGCCTAGTAGCAACTTACCAATACTAATTCCGTTCCATTCCATTTTATGCAGCCAGTAATCCCACACTTGTGTGGTCCAGTTTTTGTTCTTTTCTTTTGACAACCTATTTGGTCAAACAAAGAAGCAAGAAAAGGCCAAGGTCATTGTTGGAATGAAAAGAAAACAAAGACACAAGACCTAAGCTTTATTCCACACACCGGGTGACAGAAACTGAAAAATGGGTAAAAGTTTGAGAGAACGAGTATATTGATATGAAGTAGACACAGACAAGAGTTTGATATGATCGATACTTTTTGCGTACATTAAAAAAGTTTTAAGCCTCCCTATTTCTCAAATTATAGAGGTGAATGAATTGTGCCCCTGCCAATGAATGTATATGGGGTCTAGTATTGTACAAATCTGAAGGGAGGAGGATGTTTGTGGTTTCTGCCTAATCGGAGTTACATGTGGATTCGAGGTTGAAAATCACGTTCGGGAATCTAAGATTTGGTTGTCTCTAAATATGCAGCCGTAGGTGAGTCTGAAGCACAACCAATGAGTCCTGGATAGTGTATAGATGCAGTATCTTCCCGCCCATTGGGGAAACGGATACGTCTGTCACTTGAGGTTATCTCCGATAAATTCATCTTTGTCTGCAAGGAGGTCATCCTTCATTAACCTTATCGGTAGGCGCATCGAGCCGGACTCAACTAATTAAATATTGAGACCCCTTATGCGTACTTCCCATGGTGAGCAAGCAACAGTGTGGTGTTATTTGTTGTGTACAGCAGTGATCGATTAGAGTCATCATCATCATCGTACAGCGAAATACAGTGAAGCGAACTTCACTGATCGCTGCCAAACTCGCAGTGCATACATGGTTAGTGGTAAAATTTAAGGTAAACAACGATTGGATCTATTTTGAGGGAGGGGGAAGAAGGTGAGCCTCTATGGGCAACACACAGAGTACGCAATCGAACTGTGCATACATACCGCTTCAAGCATTCTGACCTGATAAAAGACGCCACTGCTGTCGGTTCGCTGCCATATCCTTCAATGTCTCCAACCAACCAGTTGTAGAGTCTTTTGGATCCCAACCTGGAAGGCGAGGGACACCGATTCTACCTAATCGCTCTGTGCATTTCTTCACGCCTCTTCTTCACGTGGTTTTCTCCAGTCCGGATTAGCTACAGCGAATAAGGCGCGGTGCGGCAGACGACAGCTGGGCATACGCAATACGTGCCCTAGCCAGCGAAGTCTACTAGTCTGAATTCGGTGTGCTAGCAGGTTTATACCTGATAGACTCCCAAACACACGACGGCTTACCTCCACACCACTAACCCGTTCGCTCCATCCAACGTGGGCTACACTGCGTGAACACCGATAATCGAAAACCTCCAGTCGACGGATATCCTCTGCTGGTGACGAACTTAGATTGTTGTAAACCTTACACGATCGGAGGTATGTGAGTACAGTTACCTCAGTAGGTTAACGTACTTCTGGGGCATTCCTTTTCGAAGAAGGCAGCCCATCAGAGCTTCGCGGTCAACTGAGTCGAAGGCTCCCTTTCAGGTCAAGGAACACTGTGATCGCTGGACCGACGGTGGGTATGACGCAGCTCAAGGATCTGACGCAATGTGAAAATCTGGTCAATACATCCACGGCCAGGCCGGAATCCGGCTTGATGTTCGCGGATATTGGCCCCTCTTAAGGGTGTCAGACGTCGAAGTATAACCGAAGCTTTGGTGACGATCGGGATCAAACTTATCCCGCGGTGGTTTCCGCAATCGTTGCGGGATCCTTTCTTGAAAACGGGAACGATCAGTGGTTCGCCCCAAGATGAAGGAATGTGCTCTTGCATCCAAATATGTTACGCAGTAAGGTAGTAACAGAGATTACGAGGTTATCACCTCCCATCTTGAAAGGGAGGGAGGAGGGAGCTCATCAGATCCTGCTGCCTTTCCTCGCTTCAGAGCTTGAATGCAAGACCGA